TCTTTTTGAATTGTGGTGCTGAGAGTCCCCTGGACTGCAAAGAGAACAAATCTATTCATTTTGAAGGAAATCAAACCTGAGTGCTCACTGGAAGGGCACATCCTGAAGCTGAGGCTCCAATACTTTGGCCATCTCATGAGAAGATTCTCTGGAAAAGACTCTGATGTTGGGAAAGTGTGAGGACAAGAGGAGAAGGGGACGAGAGAGGATGAGATGGTTGGACAGTGTTATCGAAGCGACCAGCATGAATTTGACCCAACTCCGGGAGGCGGTGGAAGACAGGAGGGCCTGGCGTGCTCTGGTCCATGGGGTCACAAAGAGTCAGACACGACTTAATGACTAAACAACAACGTCTTCTTACTAAAAACAAAACAAAAACAAAAACAAAAACCTGAACTTCTCTTCCATTTTCTGGGGGCCAATTGTTTTTCCTTCCAAATTATGATAATTATAGAGGTGGTGAAGGAACAGATGTGCTGGAGAAAATTGCTCCCTCACTCCATAGAGAGGATACGATAGGACTTAATGAGGTCTTTTTTTTTAGGGGGATCAGGATAACCCCCCCCAAAAAAAACCCCTGCACATGGCATTTGGTCTGCATGTCACAGGGCAAGGGGAATGATGTGTCTTCCATCAGCCAGACCCTGCATTAAGATGACAGGAACTGCTTTACCAGTGGTATGTTTTCTGTGACCCAACACATTCATGCTGATCATCATATCATGCTGATGCATGCAAGTAAGGAACATGCATTGCCAATAGTATCACAGCCTGCAAAAGTAGACTGCAATGTGGAAATAGCAGCCTTCTTGCTCACATTCTGGAAAGCATTCCTTAAGAGATAAATGAATTTAGATGGCTAGATAGCTCTTTGTTTGCTTTAAATTGTTGAAGATAGAAAAGAGGTGTGCACATTGATTGCATCACCTGGGTTCAAGGCTGCAAGCTTATGAAATTACTCAAACTCTAGGCAATACTGATGATTTGATCTGACTTTCAGCATCACACTTTGTCATCTGTTCTGGTTTGGGAGAAACAGAAAGTTGCCTGTCCTGTTCTGCGCTCAGGTGAGCTTAGACGCCAGGCTAAGATACCACTTTGAGACAGGCACACAAGAGAGGAAAGGCTTAATGATTATTTTTAACAGGTTCAAAATAAAGGTCACAACAGAACAGGAAAACATAGTTAAAAAAAACTGTCAAAGATGATGTAAGAAAAATAGCATGTATATATTTTATATATAAAAATCTACAGTATTTACTAGTCTCGATACATATTTTAGGTGCAGCTGTCTTCTCACGGCTAGCATCCATTAAAATTGTACAGCTTATAATAATAATTATTATTATTTTGTTATGCTTATTATGAATCACAGAGCCATGGTTTAAACTTTCAGATCATTACATGACAACATTATTATATACATACATTTCTATGCAGCCGTTAAGTCAATCAGAACGAAGGTAAAAAGACCAAAAAAACACAAACAAACACCTTTATGTCAGTTTAGACAGAGGTCGGGAATCTGCAGACCTCCAGATGTTGCTGAGTTACAATTTTATATCATCTCTGACCACTGGCCATGCTGCCCGGGACTGGTAGGAACTGGAATACAACATCTGGAGGGACTCAGCACACACACACACGCAAACACACGCAAACACACGCGCACACACGCACACGCATGCGCGCACACGCACACACACACACACACGCAAACACACGCACACGCACACGCACACACACACAGAGTGTAACTTTCTTCTCAGTGCCATGCCAAGCTGTTACTCCACTGTGTTTGGTGGGTTAAAAAAAAGAGTCAGTCACAAAGTTAATTTTTCAAAAATTACATCTGATCCAGTCTATATACAAAAGGTCCACCACGTTAGCTAAATAGCGCTTCTTTCTTTGAACAAGAAAAAAAAAAAGGCTTTCCCCTACCTGCACTACAGCTCTCAATAGGTTTACCTCCGTTTTGCAGTCCCAACCCATTTCGAGGGCACTGAGTCAGAGAAGGCTGAACATAGGTACCATAAAAGATGAACAGGGCCAGCCTGCAGCAAGCAGAGGTATGAGAAGCCCATGGTTTTGGGGCAGCCTTGGGTGACCTTTGATTTTCAACAGAACCAACCCACCCATACGGCTGTAGCCCAGAAAGTGCTCCCCCCCCAAAAAAAGCTCCCGTTTTCCTGTTTGCCTCGGCTGACCAGATCAGGGAAACCTGACCAGCCCCTAGGCAAAATCCGATCAGCTTTCTGGATCACAATTTGTGCAAACATGTCTCAGAAGGGGGCAATTATTTTGCACTTTTCACCGTCAGTGCCGTTGGTTGCATCATTTTGCAGAAAAACCATAAATTAAAGGGACTGCCTAATGGAAGGCCAGTCTCGTTTACAACCTGGAGCTTAAGAGTATTTGATTGAAAAAGAACAAATGCTCTCTCTTTCTGCCTCCATCCCATATTTTTAACTTCAGGTGGACCACCCATTGCCTAGACTCCTTGACCTGAATCCCTTTGGCAATTCCAACCACAGCAGGCGTGTTGCATCAAAGCAGTTTACACCACTGTTGACCTATCGCTCAGCAACTGACTCAACGGATTGGATGTAGTCATGATGATGACTAAGGCTCTCGGTTTTAGACCTTCAGCCCAGCTTAAGTGACCGTGAGAAAAATAATAATGGTGCTCTGATCTATGCACACACAGTGGGTTTCCTGCATCTGCCACTGAGGGATCAGAAGAAGAAGAATCCAAAAATAACAACGCTGTGCATTTGCTGAATTGGATATATGCCTTCCCCAGGGCTCATCACCCTTGTATGGGATAGTATCAGTATGAGGTGTGCCAATGCCCCATAGTTGAGAGAAGAAAGAAGAGAAAGCTGGATTAGGAAATACTACAGGCTAGTCTGCACAAAGATGCTACTAGACCACAACCCCTGGCCAATTTGCTCCAAAGGATGACCGAAACAGACATGGCAAGTATGAGCACATTTCCTGAATTAAAAATCAAAAACAAAACAGAGCATGTCAATTGGATCCAGTTGGATTTCTGGGGTGGGTGAGTAATTTTATCTCTTTTCCTTAAGGGCCTTTACTCAAAACTATCTTACAGTTTAGTCTTACTGGGGCAAAAGGAGAGAGAGATAATGCAGGTATCGGCGAATTCCTGCTGCTAGCATTACACCGGCTTCATGGGGACGGTTTCAGTCACGGAAACCAGCCTGGTGGAAAAGCTGAAATGCTCTTCCCTGCACTACTGTCCTAACCCAATTTTGCTGTCCCCCCATGCTTTAATTTTAAAAAGGGCTCATGGGCCAAAGGAGACGGCCACTTTCACTTATTGTCCTCTCCCCGCAAAAATGGGTTTGAGAACCTTTTCAGGTATTTTTGTGATGTTCTCATTTCTGGCTGTCCTTGCTCTACCAAAAAGAAAAAAAAAGAAAAAGAAAAAGCAAACATCCAAAGGTTGCAGGCACTGATTATAGAGCAATAAATTTGCTGTCTTCCTCTCTACAATGAGGGAGCACTTGAGCATTAGACTTTATACCTACAATCATCTCTTAAGGGCCTAGCGGTATAGCAGCACTAGCCAATCAAGGCATGACTGCCTATTGCTCTCAAGAAAAAAACAAGACCTTCAAGCATATTACGGGAACAGAGGAGGAAGCACACAAGGAAAGGGAAGGGAAGGTGTTTGATAAACAAGGTTAGGAAACAATGGAATAGAAACTGCTGAAATATAGATTGCCGTAAAAATCTGCCGGGAGATGAACTACGGATGCCTCCCGAAATAAAAGCTTTTGCAATGATCTCCACATTTGCCTTCTCAAGAGGGCATGGCGGTTGTGATATCGGCATGGATGATCTCAGCGCGAAAGCTTACCTAGAACTTCAGAAAGTTACTACCACTGTTTATAAAACTCGCTCTGACCCGATTTCCCCAGTCAGAGCGGCCCTGGGCCATGCTCAATAGTTGAACTCTGGAAGACGTAGTTGGAACAAAATCACCCCTTCATACTCTGTGCATGTCTCAGGGTTCCATAGCTGCCGAATTTGCTGTTTTCTCCAATTTGTTACAATGATTGCTAAGACACAGTAGATGGTTCATCTCTTGGACATAGTGAATCATATATTAGGACAGACAGTCCATTCCTCCCCAGCAAATGTCGGTAAAATTAATAGGACCTTAACAGGTCATACTCAATCTTGATTTATCATGTCCATGATGTCTGTGGAACAATGCTGAACCTAACGGTTCGAAGGGCGGCCCTAATATAAGACACAAAGATAACACCAATGGTGCATGCAAGAAAGAGGAGATGATATTCATTTCCCAGAATTTGTTGCGAAAGCACAGAAGTCTTACTAGAGAAATGAGCAATATATTTCAAAGAACTTCAACTTTCTTTTGTCAGAACTGAGAAAGATAGAAGGTTGAGAAATCTCTATGAGGATAACAATTAAAATCCATGTTTTAACTTTCAGCTGCATACTGTCGGTGTTAAGTCTTTCGTGTATTTACAAAAAGGCATTGTATGACCCTACTGCTATCAAGGGCAGTTTACGTAATGGGTTGTATGCAGCCCTTTGTGGATGTTCAAAATGTAAATTTCCTACAGGAATGGGACTGCATTGCCCCAGCTGAGCCCAAAGTATGCCCAGATCACCTCCACCAGCCACTCCCATATTGGTTTCTCATATACGTGTAGGGTCCAAATCCATCTCAACGGTGTGCTGAACATACCACAAGAACTGAGGTGTCCAGATTGTGTGGTTTGGACTAAAGGGTGTTGGGCTTGACATGCATACAGCAGGACACAAAAACGGATCCCCAATCTATGAAAAGAAGGGGTGGACAGAACTGGGAACTTGACTGTACACACAGCTTCCGCATCTACACAGGCCATCTGTAACCATCAATGATCAGATATATTAGCACTGCTGTAATCAATGATGATCAAGACATTCTAGCACTGTTCTGCGATAAAAATGCACATTCTGCACTCGATAAAACATCGAACCCCCTCCCTCCACCAAACAAAACACAAAGAAATGGGACTTAGAAATGAAGACTGTTATACAGCAGAACTGTCTTTGGATGTGTGCCTGTGGATCGGGGCTCAAATACTCTTGACACCCTAGATGCATGCTACAATTCACAAAGAGTCCTACTTTTAAAAGCACCATTTATTGGCTGTATCAGAGTGCCTCTGCTCTGGATACCAAATCTTCTCCTTCCTGGCTGAACAAAAGGCAATTAAAATTTCTCTATAAAGTTTGCATTGGATAACCTGGACTGCTTATTCCCAGGTTAATGAGAGGCAGTGTCGATGAGAATGTCGAGAAACCCCTTCCCTAGCCAGCCCAAACTAATAGATGATTTATAAATTAAGTTAAAAATTAAATTAAGTTAAAATAAAGAAGTACTTTGTGGATACATTCCAGGAACATAAATGCTTCCATTTTAGACTCGTATCATTCTCTTTCCACAACTGAACACACTGTAAATTGTAGTGTTGAGTCAACAACCAGCTTACAAACTTCAGGCAAGGTTGTTTCCCAGCTAAGAAAGAACTGGCATGGTCGTCACATTCTGAATGTATAAAGCTATTGCTATACTTATGAGAATAGAATCTTTTCTGATATCCTCAGTACTCAGTTTCAGTTTTTGTCAACATTTAACTGCAGCTGTAGAATAGTGTTATCTGAACTCTTCCAGACTGGCCATCTTGGATAACTACCAACCCATGACCGATGAATCTTGCAGAGTCCTCTCCTCGCCTTTCAGCTGAGCGTGCGTTGTTTCTCACAGCAGAACTGACTCATGCATGGACAACCCCTCAGTTTGGTGTCTGTAGTGGTGGGTAGGGCCGGGGGAACTTGGATATTTATAGTACGGCGAGCCAAATTCTTGGGTTGGGGGAGTCCTGTATCTTATAGGACTATCCATGGGAACAGCGGGGAGATTATGGTCGTTTACAGGCATTGACTGAAAAGGTGGGTATTTCTTCATGTTAGCCAAGTGGCTTCGACTACTGTCTTGGCTCCAGGTTTGCCCTAAAGCCTCCTGCCTGTACATATAAGCAAGATCTGGTCTCTTTCTGTTGTCCGGTAAATAATCTGCTGGTGGAATTTCAAAGCTAAGACCTATGGGTGATTTAAGGTGGCTTGTGTATGTGTCAACGGGAACAACCTCTATTCGATTTGAAGGTTTCACAACAGGATTATGGTGGTTAACAGAATAATTTCTAAGGGTTTTATCAGCCGACAGCTCTGACGGAAGCTCAGAGAAGTATGGTCGACCCGGAGCGTTGGTCCAATTCCCATGAGTGTACTGCGTGGGTATGACGCTGGAATGAATTACACTGGTGACATGCCTTGGAGAATTTCCATGGTAAACAGGTGGGTTACTGTAAGATGGAGGGGGTGGTTTAATATGAGGTCCAACATCAGGCCCATCAGATTGGGAGGAGTATCTCGGGAGCCTTGGTTGTGAGCTCAAGGCAAAACTGTTAGGTGTTTTTGGTGGACTAGACGTTTTCTCTGCCAACTTGGCCGAACTGCTAGAGAAAGCGGTGTGTTTTGGGCTCTGCAAGAGCTCCCCTCCAACTGCTTCATCCGCCACGTTGTCGTGCTCTAGGTCAGCACCAGGAACGTTGTCGTACTGTGACGCGTTCGAGCTTCGCTTACCCTCTTCGACATCCCAAACCCTCATCTTGTGCTTCACGCCGAATGACTGCGACTCGCCACCAGGACTCGGAGGCGTTCCTGAACCGGCATGGTTCGCAGAACGACTCTTGATCTCCATGGTGAGTTTTGCAGTCTTTTCTATAATTTTAATTTCAGAAGGCTTTATCCATCTCGGTACAAATTCCTTGCCCATGTTTAAAGTCGCGTTGGAATTTTGGTTGGCAGCTGCGTTGCTGTTTTGCTTGGAGTCGGCAGCCTCTCCTTGAACCTCGGGCTTTTTTCTATGACTCTCTGCTTCATGCTCAGGCACTCCACTCCTCACATTGGCTGTTACCGGCTTCTGTTGTCTCAAAGAAGGCCTCTTTTCCAGGGGATTTTTCCTTCTTCGGTGACTTGGCGAGCTTTCTGGGTCTCTCTCTGCAATTGTTTTCAGGGAGTTTTCTTGCACTCTCTCTGCGGGCGCTCTGTGCCCTGCCCTCTGGCTGTTCCGGGCACTGCTCGCTGTGCTAGTGCTACTCTGTCCATTGACAAGATGAGTAAGATTCATCATGGCAGGTTGAGTTTCAGGCTGGATTTTCTCCAACTTCTTTGGAAGCTCATCATCTTTACCTAGGAGAATAAAACATAAAATAAGCATGCACGTTCAACAACAAAAATCTTGAAACAGGTCCCTTCCATGCCAAAAGATGCCGTTACTTGTTTATTTTCTTTCAGCGCACACATTACTATATGAAAAACATGGTTTAAAATAAAAAGAGGAAAAAAAACTGAGCTGGAAGGCTCAGAAATGAACTCAAGTCTTCAGAGGTCAGGGATTATGGCTGATTTAGTCTTCTACCCAATATGCACACACTTTCGACAGCAATAAGAACTGCAGGTGGCCAGCAGGTTTGAGATCAAAAGCACTTGTTCAAGCATGCAAAAACCGTCCTTGGATTGCAAAGCGCATTTGGAAACTGATTTCCCGACCTTGATGGTTTCAAGAATATAGGCACAATATTCCTAGTCATGCTTGTTCTGAACGTGGGTTTCATTCAGAAGATTCTGAGGCTTCAAGTTATTCAGTGTCAGGGCATGCTCAGAAATCCTTCTGCAGAGGTAGTGGTGAGAGAATACACAATACAATACAAGTTTTGTACATCTCTGCATCCACTCCCTCTCACGGTGGGGAGAAAGCAATGGAAACACTGAATTCTACTGGGGCAGTTATAAAAGAGACCACCACCCAAATTTAAAAAGTTGTTCAATCCAAGAAGAGACCAAGCTGCCATCCAAACCTCTTCTGGAGAGAAATCAGGCCTGACAGGTGGAATTTAAAATCCTGGGGGCCCAGAAAGTGGTATGTTTTAAATACCATATTTTTCAGTGTATAAGACTATACTTTTGTCTAAAATCTTTAGACTGAAAATTGAGTTTTGTCTTATACACAGAAGTAAGCTGAAGAGAGAACAAAAACAAGTGGAGGGGAAAGTAGGGATCAAAGCGATCCTGCAGCGCTTTGATCCCTTTCCCCCTACACTTGCTGAGCCCCACTTAGATTTCTTAATTTTGGATTAGAAAAGTGGGGATGTCTTATACATGAGGGTGTCTTATACATGGAAAAATACGGTAAATAAGCCGCCACAAGGTAGGAGCCTCATGGCAAAGTGGTTTAACCGCCCAGAGTAGACCCTTGGTCTAGATGGGCGGGATAAAAATCTAATAAATAAAATAAAATAAAATAAAATAAATAAAAGACTCTGCTCACAACCTGAATTTGATCCCCATGGACTCAGGTTAGCCTGAGGTTGACTCAGCCTCCCATCCTCCCGAGGTTGGTAAATGAGTACTGAACTCACTTCAGGCAGGGAATATGTATAGCCTGCATAATTAAAGTTATAAACTCCATAAAGAGAGCATTAAGTGCTATGGGGCAATATATACGCAGCATACAGTACTTCTTACTGTTGTTGCCTTCTTCCTAAGATGGCGACGGGGGGGGGGATATCTCTGTATGGTATGACTCCCGTTATCAGAGACATACTGGACAGAGAGATCTTTGCAGGACAGAATGCCTGAACCATCAAACACCATAGTGTTTAAAGTCAACAGACAGAGGACTAAGTCCCTTTAAAGTTAGATGCTGAACTTCATGATGTTCCTCCATGTCTAGACTAGAAACTAGTGTGATGGCATCTATGCCACTGTTGCTGAAAACAGCAGTTACATTTGGGCCCTTACTCCTGCCTAAGGCAACATACCTGCGTCTTAGTATCATGGTGTTATGGCAAATGCATATGCTATATGGCCTAGTTTCACGAGCACTCCAAGTATGCCATGCTGAAAACCCTCGGAAAATTTTAACTAGCCCCAAAAGCAAAGCAGAAGCAAAAACAACCCCAGCTCTAGCAACGTGCCTGAAAACCACTCCATCGCCAATCAATTTTAGCCAAGGTTTCACTTTCAGATACTTGGTCAATCCTGACCGTCTTCCGGACCACCTCAGTTAATCAGATTTCAGGGAGAGGCAGCACAGTGTTCATTGGTTTGCCTGCTTTGTGACCTAAAAACCTTCCGAAGAACCTGATGGAAGTGCAATCCTGACCGTCATGCTTAACACTGGTGATAGTAGCAAATGAGGCAGTGATGGAGTTTTGTTAACCTCCAGATATTGGGCAAACGACGGAAGGCTGGTGATACAATGCACAACTACCACTTTTGTTTCAATCTGCGGCGATTCTTCTAAAAGACAGGCAAATCAAACCAACTCCACAACACTCAGGGAAGGTTGGGAGACACTAGGAATAATTAACTTACACCGACAAAGATTCTTCACAAACTCTGATAGATACTCAAGACATATTTGCAGAGCACGTTATGTTTCAACCTACATAATTTACATGGTGGTTTCTTTAACAACAGCTGGCTGGATCCCTGCAAGATGTTCTTGTTTGGGTGGTTCAAACTCTGTGCTGAGCTTTGTATGATCTTTGCCTGGCGCAGCTTGCAAACACAGAAGATTATCCAACCGCGCTTGATGAATTAGGGGTTAGAAAATAAGGAACAGCGAGATATTCCAAAGGAATCGACGTGAGAAAGGTGAACCTCTATGTCGACTGAGCTGTAGTTATTTTTGCAGCTTCTTTTTAGGACAAATGGCAACGCAACGTAAAGAAGCCATGTTTAAGAGACAGTGTGATGAGGTCAGCATAATGCGCAGAATGAAAAATTAGTAAATGGAATCTGTAGGCATGAGAATGTGCTCAGGGCAACTGGCCTATAGGATTATAAAATGGAAATAGCCAAACTGAGAGGCATTTTGTCCCAACAGCTTTTAACAGCAATGTCTAAATGGGTACATCCTGTTCAAAGGCAATATGCCAATGAGTGCTGGGTGTTTAGGAATAAATATTTTGTAGATTAGGCATCCTTCAGTCTCGAAAGACTATGGTAACATGCTCTGTATGGAAGACTTGGAAGCACATCTAGTATGGCTGAAAAGGCCAATTCGAGAGTGACAATCCCTTCCACACTGAAGACCAATACAATCTGTACCCTGTCCAGCTCCCTGATTTTGCTGCTTTTGTGACTGCCTGTTTGCCTCAGCCTGCTGGACAAGGGACTCTTCGAATTGGGAGAGGCTGTGATGCACCGCCTGCCTCCAGGCTGAGCACTCAGAGGTCAAGGTTTCCCATCTGTTGCGGTTCATTCCTAAGGCCTTCAGATCCCGCTTGCAGATGTCCTTGTATCGCAGCTGTGGTCTCCCTCTGGGGCGCTTTCCCTGCACTAATTCTCCATACAGGAGATCTTTTGGAATCTGACCATCAGCCATTCTCACGACATGCCCAAGCCAACGTAGACGTCGCTGTTTCAGTAACGTATACATGCTAAAAATGAATAAATATTAGGCAGGGGCTTAATGACTTCCCAACCTGCTTTATGGCAGACACAGAATGATATCCTGTACTGAGTGAGACCACTGGCCCATCTTTGCTTCAGGGTTTCAGACAGCAATCTTCAGACAGGAATGCAAAGGGCGTTCTCTACCACTGAGCTCCCCTCCTTTTCTAGCTTGCAAGATCCTGAACAGAGTGGCTCATCTGTCTTGTGTGTGTGTGTGTTTGTATTACATATATACATCTATCACAACCCAGAGATGTGATTTTGAGGCAGCCAAGGATTCAGATTAAGATAGGCTCTGAGATCATCCTCTTCCTCTAAACTCTTGGTTTTTTTAACATTTTTCCTCCTTGTGTTCATGTGCATCTATGTGTTTCCAGCACGAGCACCATCAGTGTTTTCAATGGTTCACTAGATAATCACAGCTCTCTCTCTCCCTTCTCTACCATATCTTGATTCAACGGATAGTTTCTTCCAAGGGAAACTTTGAAATGTACGCAGGTTGATTAATAAGGCGGCTTTTATTCTTTTTAATTTAGCTCACTTGTCTCTTAATTACCATTAAGCTTTCAAGACACCCAAGTGAGAATACTACAGACATTTTTATTGAATTCTTTGTTGCTTTGAAGATTACTCTCTGTAATCTCTCTCCTTCACATGTCAGAGCAAGAGAGAGAGAGCATTAGGCCTGGTGTGCATGGTTCAAAGCTGCTTAGATGTTGTAGGCTAACACCTGAATTTTGAACATTTGAAGAGAGAAGAACGACCGTTAGAACGACCCTAAATTGTGGTGCTAGTTCTCCAAATGAGAGCCTGGGGGTTATAAATGGAGAACTAACAGACATACTGACAGCCAAAGCAGTCCAAGGTCACAAATGTTGATTGCTAAGACCAAAGGCATGTGCAAGCAAGGTTTGTGGCATTCTATCAGATGTGTGAAATAATTGGACACGGATTGCATAAGCAACAAAGGCAAAAGGACAGGAGAAGAGATGAAAAGAGACTCCGCTTCAGATCCTTATCACGTGGCCTCGGTAGAATGCCAGTGAACCCTCACTCCAGGCTTAGGGGTCAAAAGAGGTGGGAAGGAACAAGAAGTACACAGCCTGTTTAGATCTGCTGGCATCGCTCATGCCCCAAACTTTTAAGTTGGCTCTCTCATCCCAAAAGATGCCAGGGCTGGAAGAGTTTGATGCCATCGCCTTCTCTTTTGGAACGTCCGTTTTTTTCTTCCCAAAGGGCAAAGCGCCCTCAAAAACGGGGTGCCCGGTCTTTCCCCCCACCTTTTTCCATTTAGCACTCTTTTTCCTCAGCTATTCTCCAACCCATCTGGCTCATGTTTCAAGGCTATTTGTACTCTGTGAATGCAAGATGGGACACACATCAAGGAGAAAAGAAGCGGAACGAATCTGTAGGGAGAAAGTGGACTGCAAGGGAAGGATTAAGCAATTTCCTGCATCTTCCACCATGCACAGGGACCTCCAGTCCCGGTGCTGCTGCTTCTAGTGGTCCATTGTCAGTGATGGGATGCTGGCTTTCATTGGCCTTGGCCAAGCAATTTCCTGCATCTTCCACCATGCACCGGGACCTCCAGTCCTGGTGCTGCTGCTTTCACTGGTCCAGGGCCAGTGAAAGCCAGCTTCTAGTGCTGGCTTTCACTGGCCGTGGCCTGATGCTAGGCATTGATGTGAGAACGAAGTTAACAGTTAAAAAACTCCACCACCTGAGTA